GGAGAGACAGAGCCCTGGGAGCCTTCCTCACTGGCAGAGGAGGCTCCCGACGGGCAAGGGGACCCCCCCCCAGCGGCCCGCGAGGGCCCACTCACCTCCCCGCCGGCTGCGGGGGATCTGCATAGTTGCCGGGCGGCCACCCGCCGCCCGGATCGCGGGATCCGCCTCCCACCGCCCCCGGCCCGCAATCCAGCACTGGCGGCCGGGGCGGTTGGTGTGGAGGGGGGGAGAGGAGTAGGCCGCGCGGCAGCCGCACCAGGAGGCCGCACGGCAGTTGTAGGCCGCATCCCCGGCCTGGAGGTAGTAGGCGGCCCAGTAAGTAGCTGGCTGGGCGGCCATGGGGGTAGCAGGCCGCGCGGCAGTGGCAGGCCTCGTGTCTAAAGGCCGTGCCACCCGCGCGGCCTCAGTAGGCCTCAGATCCCGGCCCCCCAGTAGTAGGCCGCGTGCCTGCAGCCCCAGACACGCGGCCCCCGCGGTGCCCCGGGCCCAGGCTCCTGCTCCTCACTGGGCCCAGGGAGTAGGATCCAGGGACAGCCTGGATGGCGGGTGGGAATGCCTGCCAGTGCTGGTGCGGCCCCCAGGGGCAGGGGCCGCATGGGAGGCAGCAGGGGAGACCGCAGGGGGTGCTCCAGGGGGAGGGTAGGCCACGGGGGGTGCCCACACCGGCAGCCATACCTCCAGTAATGCTTGTAAATTGCCTCCACAGGTGCCGGCCACCATCCACGCTGCAGCAGCCCTGAGGGACGACAGGATCGCCTCAACCTCCATCCCTCAAGCTGTGTCAATCTGCAGGCCCAGGCAAACAGGAGCTGGAGGACAGGAAGCTGTTTGCTGGCCCGAATCCCAAGTGGCACTGAGGTAAGACCTCCCCCACACTAACTTACACAGAACATAATCCCACCCACACACTCTTTCCCATCCAATCCCATGCATCTATCCCCACACTCCTACATGTGCCCTTGTCCGCTTAGCTGCGCTATCTCCCCAGGGCCTTTTCTTGCCTATGTATATGTTTACATAGTTTCTGCGTGCTGGACCACACTAGTAGTCATGACATTGGGAATAAACTGATAAGAATAGTACTACTTAACACACCACTCCTATCTGGTGGCACATTAGATTGCACGCGCAGTGCCCCAAATTTGAAGAAGGAGGACCGACCAAGTATCTTTTTCCATCTCCCGGTTCCTAAAATCGATGCCATATACACGTCCCCTGACATAACAGGGATTAAACTGATAGGAATAGTACTACTTAACACACCTTATAATAACGCAGAGAGAGGCAACGCAAAGAGAGGAGTCTGAAGAAGAGGAGTCAGAGGAGGAAGGTGGCTTTGAGGAGGTGGAAGACCAAACACAGCAGGCGTCCCAGGGGGCTTGTTGTCACCTTTTGGGGACCCTTGGTGTTGGACGTGGCTGGGTGGAGGAAGAGACCTTCAATGACATCAGTGAGGACAAGGAACAGGACATGGCTAACTTGGTATTCAACCTTGTGCAAATGGGGAGTTTGTGGTTGTGCGAATGGACTGTTTGCGGTTGTTTGCGGTGCGTTAAACGGGTAGTTTGGTCTGTCACTGTGAAGCGGGCGTAACCCTTACACAACCTGATCGATACAACATCATACCTGATGTTTTAAAGCACGTTATTCCAAACAATTTAGGAATGTTAGGTGATTTATGCCCTTTATGGATTAAAACCAGACTCTGCATCAACTATGTAATTTTCCATGGGAGTTTTGCCATGGATCCCCCTCTGGCATGCCACAGTCAAGGTGTTAGTCCCCTTGAACAACTTTTCCATCACTATTGTGGCCAGAAAGAGTCCCTGTGGGTTTTAAAATTCGCCTGTCTATTGAAGTCTGTGGCGGTTCGCCCGGTTCACCCGTTCGCGAACATTTGCGGAAGTTCGCGTTCGCGCTCGCCATTCGCGAACAGAAAATTTTATGTTCGCGACATCACTACATATAACTATAACCCAGCCTGTGCAGCATTTATCTTACACAAGTGTAACAAATAGGTTAAAATAAATTCAGAATTGGCTCAGCTCTGCTCATCGATGCTACCAGATGAGACAGTCTGCCTAAACTGCAGGTTCATTGCAGGGGGGCCATGTTATAGCAGTATTGAATGAGTAGCAGTCTGACTGATGGATGGTCCAAGGGGGCCTAAGTTGGAGGCTGCATAAGGAACCAGGAATCCGCAAGCAGGCCTGGCTGCATGAATCTCTAGTTTAATAGCTGTGAGAGCCTCGTGCTCAGGTGGTACAGTACAAGTGAAAGCAGAATATTTCAAGGCACGGAGCATAGAGAGGCCAACTGCAGGAATTGAGGAAGTAAAGATGGTAGTGCTAGTTCCGCTTTTTAGTTATTGGTGGATCTTTCACACAAGCAGAAAGCAAAAAAAAAAAAAAAGAAATTGGATTAACAAAAAAAAAAAAAACTATACATTTTTTTATATCTTTTTTTAATAGTTTGCAAGTTACTTGAAGAAATCTCAATGTATTCTTCCTGGTAAAATATTTAATCAATAAATAAATAAAGGTACGTTGTTTTGTGCCCAAGTTACCGAGGGGTCCAGTTGCCAGAGACACAGTAGCCCCCTTACATGCAATAATGTATCAGTCACAGCTCCACATTATCCTCTCCCAACATACTAAACTACACTTTGATGCATACAGGGATTTTTCAAGTGAAAGTGAATGGGCCTAGTTCGTGCATACTCAATGCATGAACCCCAAGCAGACATTTAAGACCAGCTATACTTAATTCAAATGAATGTGAGACTATCGCTCAGCTGAGAAAAAGGCTGTTTCTGATTTAGGGCAGAGCTATCAAATGGTTAATGGAATAACTTTTGTTTCACCTCATTATAACATTATTTTCCTACCTCATTATAACAAAATATTCTGAAGTCACTAATAAGTGCAAAAAGCCTCTTCAGATATTTCTTTTTGTACACAAAATGATATACATGGCATTACCACAGCAACCATTCGTCAATTGTAAATCATCCCAGGAGCCAATTATACTGAACATGTTTGCTTCAACCACTGGGAATTTGCATGGGGTCCTAGCCTGGGATTACAAATCACTGCTCCGATGGGGGGGGGGGACGGAGCTAGCTACAGACGCATCCTGGAAAGGTTGTGCCAAATACAGCAAAATACCAGATTTTTTTTGGTGGAAAAAAATAACAAGACTGCAGGTCAGAGTAATCACGATGGGAAGGGAAAACAAAAAACCGAGGGCAGACAAAGCCACTAATAGTCGCAACATAGGCGAACTCCTGCGGAACTCACAGAAGGCCGCATGGGGGGAAATGGCACTGGGGGAAGAGGGATCTTCTGGCTCCTCTGATGAAACCTACCTTGATCTGGGAAAAGGAGCTTCATTGGGCCTGCCCTTAGTGCACAAGGCCAAGCCACCTCCACTCGAAGACCAAGTTACTGCAGAACTATTAAAAAGTATGTTTGCTGGGGGGGGAGTGGCCAACTGCCGGACAAGATGGACATGTAATCCTTCTCTCTGGCACAAGGGCTGATATCCATCACCATCCTACCATACAGAACCACTATCAAGCCCTCTATTACACCATGTCGCACACAAGAGTCAAAGAAGACTGCGACAAAAGCAGACAAACTTACTTTCTTCGGCCAGAAAACGCCGCAAATGCACGCAGGCCTGTTACCCTCCAGCCAAGATGGCGAGGACGGCGCCGAGGAGGAGTGCATGTCACACGACCAGACACAAGCTGGAGACACCCTGACGAAGGAGCATCTGACCCTGGCGCTAGAGACCCTCTCGAAAAAGCTCATAGCATCCTGGCAGAGCTCTATTGATGCGCTTCGGAAGGATATCCAGGATATTGGCGGGCGCACGTCCCACCTCGAATCCAAGATGGATGAAGTGGCGATAGCACACAATGATTTGGCGGCGCATGTGGCGTCCCTGGAGGGTAGACTGCTACCTTCAGAATCTCGGCTGGCAGACATGGAGGACAGAGCGCGGCGCAATAACTTGAGGCTGAGAGGTGTTCCAGAGACGGTGCAGCCGGCAGAATTGCAAGCGTATGTGAGGGGCCTCCTAAGCGCGTATGCGCCGGAGATTCCGTCGGATATGCTGCTGCTGGACAGAGTCCACCGAGTTCCTCGCCCACGCCACCTGTCAGACTCCTCTCCCAGAGATGTCTTATTTTCACATCAAAGAGCATATCCTCCATGCTAGCAGGCACTCACCCAATCCCCCAGACGGCTACTCTGAAGTGCAGATCTTCCCGGACATATCAGCTGCCACTCTCCGCAGGAGGAAGGACTTCGCAAGGATCACTGCGGTGCTCCGTGACCATGGAGTGAAGTATAGATGGGGATACCCCACGAAACTCCTGGTGTCACGGGAGGGGGACGCTGAGAACAATTCTGACTCCAGAGGACGGCATAATCTGCCAGAAGGAATGGGGCATAAACCTTCAAATGGATCACGGCAACCTCCCGGCTCCGGGCAGGCTCAAGCTGGATAGCCATTAACCCTCTCATACTGCGGTATGCTGGGTCACGCAAGTATTGACTGCCCTCTGTTAGACATATACTGGCACACAATATCTGTCTAGACTAGTATGGCTGTGGCCCCTTGCTCCCCATTTTTGGTTCATGCCAGTGGGGGCCCCGGGGCTTTCCCCACGAGGGAGGGGGCCGGGGGGGACGCGGGGGGTGCCTCGCGGCGACGAACAGAGACCCCAGGAGTCTGTTGGAGCATAGATTTAGCGCTGGCCTGCTCCCTCCCCTATGTGGGGGGGCCTGTCAAACACGTTCCCTATGCTGGGGGGAGGTAGTGGCAC